ACTAATCTACTACCCAAAGCCCCAGAGATTTCTGAGGCTTCCTCAGTGATACTACATTCATGAAGTCTGGATCTGTCCCCTGTTGGCCTCTTAGCCATCAGTCTGGGATTCAAGAGCTACCCCTTGTCTAGTCAGCGGTCTTTGTGAGTTTCACCAGCAAGGTCTTGACCCTGTGCTCATCATTCCTCCATCTCTGTCACTGGGTTCCTGCAGGTCAGTTCAGTGTTTAGCTGTGAGTGTCTGTCTCTGCTTCTGTCAGTCACAGGATGAAGGTTCTAGGATGTCATACAAGGAAGTCATCAACCTTATTATTAGGTAAGGGCTATTAATGTAGTCTCTCCACTATTACTTAGTTTTCCAGTTGGTACTATATTTGTAGATCTCTGGAAATCTCACTAGTGTCAGCTCTCTCCTCAAAGCTATAATGACTCCCACTATTATGGTATCTCTCATCCTGGTCTCCTGTATTCTTATCCCAACTCAACCTTCCTGCTCCCCCATGTCTTCTTCTACCCTCCTTTTATCCCCCTCGCTTTTTCCTGGTTCCCTCTCTTCTCCCCCGATGTTCCCAATCTGCTCAGGAGACCTTGCCTCTTTCTACTTCTCTGGGGTATAATGCATATCTCTTGGGAACCTCCCTTTTTCCCAGACTCACTGGACCTGGGATTGTAGGCTGACACTCCCCTGATCCATTCTGAAATCCATATATGAGTGAGAACATACCATGTTTGTATTTTTGTGACTGGGTTACCTCATTCAAGATGGTTTCTTCTAGTGTCATCCATTTGCCTGCAAATTTCAAGATTCTGTTGTTTTTCTCCGCTGAATAGTACTGCATTGTGTAAATGTATCACATTTCCTCTATCCACTCTTCAGCTATGGCGCATCTAGGTTGCTTCCAGGATCTAGCTATTACAAATAATGCTGCTATGAACACAGTGTCTGTCAAATCCAATAGGATCATAACCTCTATTAGTTCTTTTTTCATAGTTAAGTTTCCGTCTTGTAGTCCTGTCTAGTGGTGACAGTGGGGTGCTGAAGTCTCCCACTATTAGTGTGTGAGGCTTTATGTGTGGTTTGAGTTTTAGTAATGTTTCTTTTATAAATGTGGATGTCTTTGTCTTTGGGGCATAGATATTCAGAATTGAGACTTCATCTTGGTGAATTTTTCCTTTGATGAATATGAAATGACCTCCTTCATCTCTTTGATTGATTTCAGTTTAAAGTCTAGTTTGTTAGATATTAGGATTGCTACCCCTGCTTGTTTCTTGGGGCCATTTGATTGGAAAATCTTTTCCCAACCCTTACCTATGAGGTAATGTCTGCCTTTGAGGCTGAGGTGTATTTCTTGTATGCAGCAAAAGAATTGGTTTTGTCGTCGAATCCATTCTGTCAGCCTCTGCCTTTTTATGGGCAAAATAAGACCATTAATATTGAGGGATATTAATGACCTTTGATTGTTGGTTCTCATTTGTTTTGGAATGGTTGTTCTTGGTGGAATTTTATGTGGATTTCCACCCCTTTTCTCTTTTGGGTATTGGTAAAGTGGGATTATCTATTTCTTATGTTTTTCTGGTTGTAGTTAATGTCTTTGGACTGAGTTTTCCTTCCATCTATTTCTGTAGGGGTGGGTTACTGGGTAAGTATTGTTTAAATCTGATTTTGTCATGGAATATCTTGTTTTCTCCATTTATAGTGATTGAAAGCTTTGCTGGGTATAGTAGTCTGGCCTGGCATCTAGTAGTCTGGGCTGGAATCCTTGGTGTCTTAGTGTTGGTAGAATATCTATCCAGGTCCTTCTGGCTTTCTGAGTTTCCATGGAGAAGTCAGATGTAATTCTTATAGGTTTGCCTTTATATGTTATTGTGATGTGGCACTTCTACTGGTATCTGGTGAAAACTTTTACAACTCTGGTCTTCTCCATCAAAATTTGTTATTTCTCCATCTGATTTTCTTTGGTGAAACAAGTCATTACCCAAACCTCATTGAAGTGATTCATTGGGAGGAGGAATCCTGGCAGAGCTGGCCAGAAAAGGGCAGGTATGACCTGCACAGTTAAAGGCCATATATGGGTTTTCCTAGTTGTGCAGTTTCTCTGGGTGATATTTTTCAGTGTGGAAATTGGTCAGGTTTCTATCCCTGTAGTTAGACAACCTCTGAGATTTGATGACACTTGCTTAGGGAATGATTGGTTTCATGGTTAGGGAATGGTTGATTTTCCTGCTTAGGAATTAGATGGTGTACATACTGAACTGGTCACAGTCAGAGTGTGTTTTTTGTCTCTAATTTCTGTGCCAAGGTGTATTTTTTCTCTGATTTCTGATTCATAATGCATTTATTTTACTCTGGTTTCAGTTCCATGGTGTGTTTGTTTGGCAGTTTCCTATACCATACACAAACCCTTATCCAAACTAACTAAATGCAGGGACAAATATCCAAATTAACAAAATCAGAATCAAAATGGGGAAAAAGCAACAGATACTGAGAAAATAAAAAGAGTCATTATGGTATACTTCAAAACAAGTACTACACAACAGAAAAATAAAAAATTTTCTTGATAGATACCAGTTACCAAAGATAAATAAAAATTCATCAGGAAAATAATTTGAATATGCCTATATCTCCCAAGGAATATAAGCAATCATTAAAGTTATTCTCACCCACAAAAAGCCCCAGAGCCAGATGTCTTAGTACAGAATTTTCCAGACTTTCAAAGAAGAGCTAAGACAAATGTTCCTAAAATTACCCCATAAAATAGAAATGGAAGGAACTTTGATACAGTCATCCTGATACCAAAATCACACAAAGACTCAATGAAGAGAATTACAGACCAGTTTCTTTCATTATAATTAGTTGCAAAAATACTTAATAAAATGTCTGCAAACCATATCAAATATACATAAAAAACAATCAGTGTGATCTAGTGAACTTCTTCACAGAGATCCAAGGATCATCAACATACAAAAATTTGTCATTGTAATCCCTCATATAAACAAACTGAAAAACAAAATAAACCCCCACGTAATCTGCTTAAATACTTAAAAAGCTTTTGACAAAGTCCAACACTCCTTCATGATGAAAGTCTTGATGAGATCAGAGATGCAAGGGACATACTTGTGTTAATTTGATTTTTATTGTTTTGTGAATAGATACCATGAGCGTGACAACTCTTATCAAGGAAAGACATTTAATTTTGTGTCTTACATTTTCAGTGGTTTAGTTAATTATCACAACAGTACAACGTGATTTCATTATGGTGCTGGAGCAGGAGCTGGGAGTGCTTTTATTTTGAGGTACAAGTAACAGGAAATCATCTTTGTCACTGGGCATGGCTTGATCATATGTGAGACCTCAATACCCACCTCCACAGTAGCACACTTTCTCCAAAAACAGCACACCTACTCCAGCAAGGACACATTGTGAAGTGGAAATAGAGTAGACATTGCAGGTGGAAGGGGACTGGGGTCTGGAGGGGGTGGTGGATTTGGAACAGGAGGACTCAGTGGGAGGAAAGATGCATGGAGAATACTAGGTGGAAAAGAAATGGTATATGGGTGCACCTCTGGGAGGATTTAGAAACCTAGTGTATTGGAAACTCCCCCAGAATCTAGGGAGGTGATTCTAGCTAAAACTCCTAACATTGGATATACAGCCTGAAGAGGCTACCTCCTGTATCCTCACAAGAATTCCAGTAGAGAGAATATGACAGCAACACAGAATTATTAATCTACAAACTACAATTTGTCCTTTCTACAAGACATGCTGTGTAAAATTGTCACAGAAGCTGGGAGTGGACAACTAATGATGGGATGAAACTAATGTTTGATGATTCTGGAACCTTTTCTAGACCCACTCTATATCAGGTGGTGTTCAGAATGTAGGAGAGCACAGTGAACAGGGTGACATACCTTGCATCTCTTATGATTTTAGGGCTCATGGCAAGTCAAAATTGAGTTTTAGACCATGCGTGACGTAGCTGTGGACATAAGATTGCAGTTCTCCCAGTTATATCCATGGGTTGATATCAGGACACACATTCCCTTTCAGAAAATTGTTTACCTGAGCCAGACATGACTTTGCCTAGTAGACTTTTCTCCATTCCTGTCTCTACAAAATTGGCATCCCTAGCTAGACTCTGCTCAGACCTTCTGGTTGTTCATTTTACTGAGAAGAACTTTCTACATGGGGGGATACTAATATCCCTTCTCTGCTAGAGTCTCTATGGGAAGACAGGATTGCCAGGGAATCAGCTAGGCAAAGGGCAAAGATGACAGGTGAGTATCAGAAAGGACATGGGGTCACCTAACACAGTTATATAACACACAGTGTTAGAATGAAGACTTGAAACTATCCATAGTAAAATAGAGCCCACAGTACTTTAAAGGACAAGTGCCCATCTGTTTCACAACACTAAAAATATGAAACTCTTCATGGAACTGCTCCTGAGGCTCTCTCCTAGTAAAGAACTTTAACTGGTGACATCAGTGGTAAATTATTGATCTTCATTTCTAGTCATCAGTCAGCTGGTCTCCTTACAGCTTTTAGAGACATCCCTGTCACTTTCTTCAGTGAATTATAAAGGTACCCATTGAGAATACAGGCAGGCAGGGTGCTCACCAGGATCTCTGTGTCACAAGGACACAGGTTTTTTTTGAAGGCTCCCTCTGGTGCTGACTGACCTAAGGCAAGACACAGCAGATGTCAGCCCTGGGATGAGCCACTGTTCTCTAGGGCATGAAGATGCTTATCACCCTTGTTGTTCAATGTGCTGCTTGGAGGAGAAACATAAAGGGGAGTTGAAATGGGTGTTGGGCAGCACTAAGAGTGGAAAGATCTGTGCTTTGGACACAGATCCCAACACCAACAGCCCATTGGATTCTGTGAAGTGCTCTTCTCTGAAAGGAAGCTCAGTTCATAGAAAAGAAAGCTGCAGTGGCTGAGCACTTTGCTGGAGCTTACATTCTTCTCCTGAAAGGGAGAACAGTGAGGTGAGAAGAGAGATGGCGATGTCCTCTGTGCTTCTCTGCAATGGGTGCACTTCTTGGCAAGGGCTTCTGCTCACAGGTAAGTGTGCTCACTCTCTGACTTTGAGGTTGATGGGGTACTTGGAGGCAGGCTGGAATCTCCTTAAAAAGGCAGGAACCTGAGAGGAGATGTGAGGTTTTGGTGTGCAGTCCTGGGCCAGAAGGTACTTTGAGGGACACAGGCTCAGCACCCTGAATCTCTCAGAGGACACGAGGTGAGGAGAGGAAGAGAAGAGCCCGGAACATTCCCTATTTATAAACAATACCTTTGTTCTGAAGTCTGATGTTCCCACCTTTGACAGTAAGAACCTCCAAATAGTAATGGATGGACCACTGAGATAGTTCAGTATATGGAGACACAACAACCTGAATTCAGTCCGCTGATCCTTCATGAGAAATGGAGAGAAAAGACTCTAGCAGGCTTTTCTCTGTCTTTCAACCAGGTGCTGTTGTGTTCACACACGCAGGAGCATACCACATACTTTTTGTCCTTTAAGGTGTTGTGGCATGCACCTGTACCTTCACACAGTGAGCCATCTTGCTCCACACAGATATGTGGAATACCCTTCACATGGACAAATGCACACACCTGCCTCAGAACTACACAATACAACACATGAGAAAATGTAAAAAGTTCAAATCATGCTTGAATACAATTATTGTCATTAACTCCAAATTGACAATGGTGTAATTAATCCCATGGGGGCATTTTCCTCCTTCCTTCCTTCCTTCCTTCCTTCCTTCCTTCTTTCCTTCCTCCCACTCCATCCCTCCTTCCCTCCCCATTTTCCCTTCTCTTCTTCTTCTTCTTCTTCTTCTTCTTCTTCTTCTTCTTCTTCTTCTTCTTCTTCTTCTTCTTCTTCTTCTTCCTTCCTTCTCTTTTTGTTTTATTCACTTTTATCTGAATCTTTTCCTGGAGTTTAAGTTTCTAATATAGTCACACTAAACCCTGTACTTACAATCCATGGCTCTTGTTGAACTGATGTCAGGGCATCTGTAAGATGAAATCATGAGTTGTTTGGAATTACAATGTGGGCAGAGAAAGCATCAGAAAGTGAGGACTCTCTAGAGAAGGAGTTCAGATAGATAGTGCTCCTCACACCAAATAATATATGTGAGAAGGGATAAGGGGAATTTGTTGGGGGAGCCAGGTAGACACCTGAGCAGAATATTCCAGAGAGAGTTAATGACATAGTCAACAGCTTTGAGTTAATGGAAGTCATGTTGCTCATGTCTACCAAGGATGGTAAACATACTGGTATCCCCACATATAAGATGAGTGATGGATCACATCTACTCAACATTGATCAATTCTTTTTTTCTATTCCCTTCCAGCCTCCCTTTTAACATGCTGGCACGTCTCCACCTCCACTGCACATGTCACCATTGAATCTGTCCCACCCCACGTGGTTGAAGGAGAAAATGTCCTTCTTCTTGTCCGCAATCTGCCAGAGAATATTATATCCTTGGTCTGGTTCAAGGATTTGAAAATTATAAGAAGTGCAATTGGATTATATAATGTGAGATACAATGTAAGTGCTCCAGGGCGTTTACATAGTGGTAGAGAGACAATGTACCGCAACGGATCTCTGCTGCTCAGAAACGTCACGGCGAAGGACACAGGATACTATATCCTGAGAACCTTAAATAGACATGTAGATATTGTGTCAACAACAGTCACACACCTTCTTGTGCACAGTAAGTGATTCTTTGTGAATTCTGGGTTGTGGGTGGGGTTCATTCTACAGGATACTCACAGTATAATGACCTGCACCTTTTTCCACTATGCACTGCACTTTCATTTTTGGGTATGAGTATTCAGTGCAGGACTGCGGTGCCCATGCCACAAGCAACTCCGAGGTATCAGGAAAAGAAAGACCAGATGTCCAGCTGTTTGCACTAAGAAGTTTCATTATTTTGCCAGTACTAAGAGGTCTCTCTCTTGTAGGAGGGAGCAGTCTTATATATGGTCTTACAACACAGTAGAAAAACCCCAGGTGGAAGAGAGCATGTTTTCCTCCTGCTAGATGTTGATGTCAGTGGGGCAATGCTGGGGCAGTAAGCCAGGACTAGAAAACAGGATGCACCTGTGGCTATCAGCTGACAAACAACTCAGAGACCCTGTGGGGGGTAGGCCCCAACAAGGACATTCATGGTTTAGAATAATTGCAATAGATCAGAATGTTTCATTTGACTTCACTTTATAGACGGGTGGACAGATATTGGGTAACTCAGCCAAGGATATCAGCTTCTGTCTAGACTCTTGGGCTTCTTACCAGGAATGTGTCCTTGAGAAAGACCCAGAGGAAATCAATATTTGACCTTTTGGAGAAAAATTTGAGATCCTAACTGAGATGCCCTGGTTCCAAACCTCTGTCCCAGAATCAACTACAGGTGTCCTTGAGAATCAGTTTATGAAGGTTGGATTTTGACTTCCTGAAGGAGCAACTGATGCTTTTTTCTAGTCCATGTCCTGAATTTTTGGAACCAGCCAAATAAAAGTCATGGGCTATATAGTTAGTCTAAGTCCCCTGTACATCTTCATGGACTAAACAGGGAGAGCTAAGCATGATAGGCGCTCAGTTCATCACATGCATGTTCTGATGTGCTTATGATAATTTAGATAAAGGTCAGAGAAAATAAGAAGAGGTTGAGGGGATGCACATCCTGCTGACAAGTGTCCCCTGGGTCCAGCCTAGGGGATCCTCTCCTGTAGGGAAATGGCTACAGACTATGGTGATCTGTACAGCTCCCAAACATGAGCAGTGGTTCTGCCATAGATCAGGAGGGGATGTCTTTAGGACATACAATGAACTGGCAGAAAAGTATGTGCCTGAACTGGAAACTGGAGCAAAAGAGGAGGTAGTTTCTCCAAATTCGTCCATCATCTCAGGGGTCCAGCCTAGGGAATTCTTTTTTTAAAGATGTGTTTACTGATGTGAGCAGCTGTCCCATCCAAACATCAGACAAGTGTTCATCACTAAATTTAATTCATGGACCAAGCAATGATATTGCTCCATGTGTCTTAGTATGTGGAACTTGAGACAGAAGAAACAGTGCCTCAATCAAAATCACACAGACCCTGAGTTGCAGAGCCAAAACACAAGTTATGTGTATAGTCAGAGCTGCAATGTCTCACACTCTTTTTTAATATGAAGTTAAGATGTGCTGGTTAAGCTCTCTGAAGGAATACCATCATTTGGTGCCTCCTCTGTTTCTTCACAGAGTATGTGATGCAGCCCTTCCTGCAAATCAGTGACACCACAGTCGCAGTGCAAAAATCTGTGTCGCTCATCTGCATTTCACCACACACTGATAACTCTTTCCATTGGATCTTCAATAACCAGAGTCTACAGATCACAGAGAGGATGACACTGTCTCCAACGAAGCATTCACTAAGAATAGATCCTGTCAGAATCGAGGATGCTGGAGAGTATCAGTGTGAGGTCTCCAACCCAGTCAGTTCAAAGACCAGTCTCCCAGTCAGGCTGACTGTCATGAAGGAGTGACCTCTTCTCATCCTACTTCAGAGTGGGGGCATTTCTTTTTCAATGTGGTACAAAATGGAGAAAAGTTATCTAGCTAAAATGATCAGTTACCACTCAGATACAGCCAGTGGTGACTCATACCTATAATCCTGGGATACATGTATGTACAGGGGCAAACAAGGATTTAAAGTGAGTCTGTCTTAAAATGAAAATAAAGACACCAATATGGTAAGAAGAAATGAAAAGTCCGTCAGAGTTCATGTTGTTGATGACATATGTAGCCATGCCTAATCATTCATGGGAACTAATTTCAGTAACACCTAAAATTTTGTATGCTCTGAATCTGCTGTGAAAATGGTTCAGTGTTCACATACAGAAAAATCATCCTCTCTTATGCTCAATACATTCCCCATTTAACTCATTCACATAAGCCCAATGTTGAGTGAAGAACATTTATCCATGTGAAATGAGGAAGAATGACAGGAGAAGGGTCTGCCCATGTTTCACTGTTAGTATAGCTGGTTTCCAAACAGCTTCTATACACAGTTTGTTTGATGTAGACATGTAAAATCCTTTACATAAGGACAGATTGTTCTTTTTTCATCCTGAATGGCATTTGCATTGACACCTGGCACATGAGTGCTTTTCCTGTTAATATGTATTCCTTTCCTTTTTTTATTCCCCTCTCATATATTACATCTTGACCACAGTTTCTCCTCCCTCCATTCCTCCCATCCGCTGCCACCCCTTAGGGTTCCTTCAAAAAAACAAGAGACCCTCCCAGTAATATACACAGAACATGGCTTAACAATTTACCTTAGACTTGTCACAGTCCCTCATAACAAAGCACAAAGAGACAACAAATTGGAATAGGTTCCAAAGCACGGGTAAAAGTCAGAGATGTCCCCCACTCTGACTGTCAGGCGTTGCACGAGAATACCCATCTATGTCACCATAGCTTATATGCTGAAGCACTAGCTCAGACCTTACAGGCTTTGTGATTATCTCTTCAGTCACTGTGATCCTTTATAAGCACTGCCTAATTGTTTTTTATTCCATGTTTTCATGGTGTCCTTGTCCAGTGTGTCTTCTGTAAGCTTTCTTCCCCCTCTTCTCTGGGGTTCACCTGTCTCTGCCAATTATTTGGCTGTGTGTATCTGCATCTGCTCTCTTGAGTTCCCAGATATCTCTCTGAAAACAATTAGGCTGGATACAGATCTACTAGTATAACTGAATGTCACTTCATTGAAATTTTTTCCAATAATTTTTGTTTGTGTTCTCAATTTCTGGGCTGTCAAACATCTGGTTCCTTTCTATCCAGGCAGTGTGAGCTCTCACCCATAGCAAGGACTTCAAGTTGAACCTGTCATCGGTTGGCTACTGTCTTAAGTTCTGTTTCACCATTACCCCTGTACATCTCACAGGAAAGACAGATTGCAGAATGTTTTGAGGAAGGATTGGTGTCCCATTCTCTCTACTAGAAGTCTTGTGGGGTTATAGAAGAAGGCTGGTTCATGCTCTGTATCACTCACTACTAGGTGTCTTTACTAGGATACTCGTTATATGTTACCAGGAATTTTCACTGTACTAGGCTTTCATATTGCTCCCCAAATGCCCCCAATATTCCAATCATTTCTCTATGTATTCTTTCCTACTTTCACTCCTCCCCCATGTCACGACCGCCTCAGCCAGCAAGGAAGACATGACTTGGGAACTCTTCTCCAAGCGGTTCATTCAGGAACCTTGAAACAGTCTTCTTCTCCCTTGGGGAAAGCCAGCCCACAGCTTATATGGCCTAGGCATAGCCAACCCCATCACGCCACTTGGCGACAGCAGATAGGTCCACATACACGAAAGCAAGCCGTGGACCCGAGCCTTGACCAAATATGGAGTTGTTTACTCCGAGAGCGCTCACCATCGGGAGGGTGGTAGGTGGAAGCCAGCGCCATCTTTAAGGCGTGGCACGTCGCAGCTCTCCACACCCCCACCTGATACCTCCTATTCCAGTTGCCATCCACTCCAAGTCCACCCCCCAAATCTCTTCTATTTTCTCTTCCCAGAAAATTAGATGGGTTTCCTGTGAGTATTCCTTGCTACTTAACTCCTCTATACTTGTGAGACCATAGCACATATGATTGTGTGCATTATTAGTTGACTGGAATAGACCTCAGGTGGGTATATTTGTTCACCAGTTCAAGAAACTTCTGTAGAACATTAAGGATTTTTCCTGAAAGAAGTCCATGTTATCTGAAGATCTATTTTACAGGCAGTTAGTTGGGCACTTTTTATTTTTTGCCTAATTTTTCTGTCTAGAACATCTAAGAGAATACTGGAGTAAATAACCACCACAACATCCTTGTGTCAAATCCTGGTCTTATATGGAATGTTACCATTGTCCCCACTGAGTACTGAATTACCAGTGTTTTCTCATACATACCTCTAATGCACTGGCATCTCTTGTATCTTATTTTATCTGCTTTAATCATTAAAAATGTTTACTTTTAGAACATAGTACAATAAGCCTGTGGCTCATTACAATACCAGAACACTCTTACCTGGACTCTTAGGACAATAATGAGAAATGTGATATATGAAGTTGTATGTGGAACTGCCTATAGCAGACAGAACATGCACAGAAAAGCCCAGGCCAGGCAAGTCAGGCCAAAGCCAATGCTATGCAGCAAAAGTGACATAAAAACTATAGCTCTTTGTATAGGGAACCCTTAAAAATGTTTACTTTTGTCAAACGTCTTTATTGATTCTGTCCTATGAGTTTTTCATGGAATCAGTTTTGTGTTTCCTCATGCTTCCATCTCTGTAGGTTCTGAACCTTAGAATATTAGTATGTTTTGTGTAAGTCTCTCTGCAATTACCCCCATAACTTTTGAGCAGTCATGGAAATTTTAGAATTCAAAGAAATGGACAGCAAGATTTCAAATTTCACTTCAAGTGTTAATAATGTTACTCTTTTTAAAAAGTCAATCTAATTAAAGGGTTTCAATGTCATTAATCACTTTGAAATGAGGTGTACTCTTTCATTGAAAGTAAGGTCTTTTGTCTTACAATATATACTGTTTATAATTTCTCCTTTCCCAAAACTATCAAGTTCCTCCCTATATCCCTTACCTTGGGGATCCACTCCCTTTCTTTCTATCATTAGAGAAGAATACACCTAAGAGATAACAAGAAAATGTGACAAAAATAGAATATAACAAGATGAAACAAAAACTATCATATTGGTGTTAGACCCTGCAGCCCAGCAGGAGCAAAATAGTCCAAAGAGAGCAAGCATATAAGTTAGAGACCCACTTGTTCTCACAGTCTGGATTCTCATAAAAAATACCCAGACAATGTCTAAATTACACCGACAGAGGACCTTCTGCCAGTACATGTAGGCATTGTACATGCTGATTCAGTCTCTGTGAGTTCATATGTAACTTGTTTAGCTGATTCACAGGGTCTTGTGCTCAGGGTGTCCTCCACTCCCTCTGGCCCTTACACTCTTTTCTGTCTTATGTTCTGATGTATATTTGCAGCCTTAGCCTAAGACAAATTTTCACAGGCCATGAATTGACAGTAGATAGGATGGGGTATTCAGAGTATGGCTGAAGTCTTTGAAGACAGTAGCTTGAGACAGACTGAGGGTTCATTCTCATAGCTCAAAAGGAGAGGACAGAGGTTTAGCATCAGGAAGTACTTGGTGAACTGGAAAGAGAAAGGGAATGGAGAGCCAGATTTTTTCTCCTCAAAGTTTATCATAATTTACTATTATAGTTTGAAAACGGTTGTTCCCAATCATGACACTGTTCCCCTCTGAATGAAAATCAAAACAACGTGGGCCACCAAGTTGATTTTGTGGGTGAAGGCACTTGCTGCCAAGGCTTACATTCTGAGTTCAATTTCCAGATACAACTTCATGGAATTAAAGAACCAATTCCTTCGTGTCATCTAACACCCATATGGGTGCATTAGCATTTTCTTACCCATACACTAATGTATGCATGAGTAACCCACGCATATTCTCACTCTCTCCAGCTCTTTCCACATACATATAAAATGCATAAGCAATTGAAAATTAAAAGTCAAACTGCGATATTATCCTATCTTGTTATCTACCAACATGAAATTCCTTCATGTAAGTGCTCATTTATCATCATTCATTCAGCTACACATTTATGAACAATTTCCTGTCACTGGATTATCCCAAAAAGCAACTGCATTCTATCCTTTCAAAGTTCTCGTTGAAAAAGACTGGAATCTAGAAGGTGAATTTAGCATTTGACTTGAATCACAAATGGAACAAGGAAAAATTGAAAAAGAGGTCTAGGAAGATAACCAGTGAGTAATAGTACTTGTGGATCTTTTAGATAACTTGAATTCAATGCTCAGCACCCATATGAAGAGACTTCATGGCCTCAACTAACTCTAACTCTAGGTTATTCCATATAGTTCTCAGACATTCTATAATTACCTGATCATCCCCTTCTGAGACTCAGCATGTGAGTACCTAGATGGACAGGTTTTCAGGTTGTTAACTAACTGTTCTGATGGTCTTATGAGATGTCACAGGACAGCTTTAATCCCCAACGGGAGGGACAGTGGACATTGGTGCTCCTAATGACTTCATGTACTCAATATTATGTCTAGAAAATTATTTCCTGAAGGCAAATATTATTAGACAGTACTGCTCTGTACAGCTGTCCTGTCCCAGTGGAAGGACTGTGTTTATATTTGAGGCTACCTTATAACCATGGCTATGTGTGCTATCACTGGAAAGGAGACACAGAAAACAGTGCATACATCTGTCTCACAGGCCATCAGTAAGAAGTTGTCTGTGTACAACCACATATCCAGTGTCTTACCCCTGGAGACATTTTCATGTGTATGTGTAGCAGGAGCAGCGATTTTTCACAGATGTTAATGTTTGCTACCAGCAGCTTGAGGAGATGTCTGTTTTATGAAGTGAAAACATATGGAGAGTTAGATCTGACTCTACTACTAAACTACCCGACTTTGTAATA